TGTATTTTCCTTCATTCTATTTTTCCTCACTATTGTCCTTCTCACCCTCTCTTTTTACCCTTTCCCTCCTCATGTGTCTAATTTACTTCTAACCACTACCCCCTAACCCTTACCCTTTTTCAGAATCCCTCCCTTATCTTCTTCCATTACCTTCCTATTCCTTAATCTACCCACTCTTAAGAGTCCCTCCCTTTTCTTTTCCTGTTGCCCTCCTATTTCTTTGTAAATTTAGAAGATTTTTATGCCCTTCTAGATATAGGTGTTATTCCCTCTTTAACCCAGTTCCAATGAGAATAAAGTCCCAGTGTTGCTAGCCCTCCACCCTCGCCTGCCTCCTCTGTATAGTTCTTCCTTTGATGCCTCATTTGTATGAGATTACTTCATTTGACCTCTCCCTACCCAATCTTATTTTTTAGAATCATCTAATCACACTCAACTCAACCCTACGCCTTCTATGCACACTCTTTCAAACTATCCAAGTAATGACAACATTCTTAAGAGATAACATTTTCTCATACAAGAAGTAAACAATTTGACTTTATTGTGCCCCTTATAATTGGTCTTTAATGTTTACTTTATGTTTCTCTAGGATCTTATATGTCAAATTTTCCATTGATTTCTGTTCTTTGTCACAAATACCTGAAAATCTTTCAATTCACTAAATGTTCCACCCCCTTTTTTCATTCAAAACTATACTCAGCTTTGCTGGGTAAATTATTCTTGGTTGCAAATCCAGCTGCTTTGCTCTTCTAAATAGAATGGTTCAAGCCCTTCAGTCTTTTAATACAGAAACTGCTAGAGCTTCGATTATCCTGACGGTGGCTTCACAGTATTTAAATTGGTTTTTTTCTTGTTGCTGCTCTGAAACTTGGCCATAATGTTCCTGTGAGTTTTTATCTTGGGATTTCTTTCAGGTGATGAGCAATGGATTTTTTTTTTCTATTTCTATTTTACCCTCTCATTCTAGAATTTCAAGTCAATTTTCCTCAATAATTTCTTGTAATATTGTATTTAGTGTCTTTTTTTGATCACAGCTTTCAGGTAGTCCAACAATTCTTATGTTGTCTCTCCTAGATCTGTTCTCCAGTTGTTTTTCTAATGAGATGCTTCACATTGTCTTCTACTTTTTTCATTCTTTTGTTTTTTTTTTTTATTTCTTGCTGTCTTGTAATGTCATTAGCTTCCCCTTGCCCAATTCTGGTTTTTAAAGAGTTATTTTCTTCCTTAAGTTTTTGGATATCTTTTTCCAATTGATTGACTTTCACAATTTTCCTGATTTTCTTAGATTGCTCTTATTTTTTTTCCCTAATTTTCCCTCAACCTCTCTTATTTGATTTTTAAAGTCCTTTTTAAACTCTTCCAAGAACTTTTTTTGGGCTTGTGACCATTTGATATTTTTCTTTGAAGTAGAAGTGACTTTTAAAAACATCACTATCTTCTTCTGAGTATGAACCCAGATCTTCTCTATCCCCCTAGTAGATATCTATGGCTGGGTTCTTTCTCCTTTGCTTACTAATTTTTTTTTTTATTTTAAAATCAGATTATTAGAGTCAGGTTCTAGTCCTGAGGTGTAGGAGGCTTCAGGTTTTTGTTTTTTTTTAAACTGTTGTTTTCTAAGCTCTGTCTGGAAACTTGGCCACTCCTCTCTACTCCTGAGCCACAGCTACAGCTCCCAGCCAAGCTGTTACCACACATGCTCTTGCTTCCTGTGGTCCCTCCCAAGGTTACAAGCTTCAGCTCATCCCTCTGTTCTCGATGTGAAACCAGGGACTCCATTCTCCTGCAAGTGCCCATAGCAGCAGGGTCCTCACTCTCCTGCCACTGCACTCACTGGGTGTGTGCTCACTCATCCTCTCCCACAACCACGACCGAGGATCATGTCTGGTCAGCACAACTGGCCCTGGCATCCCAAGACAGCCAAGGGTTCTTCAATCTTTCCCCGCTCAGCTGTTTAACCCTCACATAGCCCAAGAAGTAAAAGTTCCTGAAGCAAAAACGGCCACCCCCACCTCCTCACTCCCCCAGGGCTTTTTATTTGTTGATCAGCACAGTCTGCCTTGAGGTGTTTGCAGGTCCATGGGCTCAAATTCCTACCTCTGGAGGTCAGGTCTTTCCCCAGATCCTCCCAAGTGGTCTTAGGACAGCTGCTTTACCCTGACTTTTAATTATTTGTGACACTCAAAGTTCACTTTGAGGTGATATTTTGTCTTGTTTGAGGGAGAAATTTGGAGAGCCTGGTATTTTTTGTCTTTCCACCATCTTACCAGAATTGTCCGTGTTTGGTGGATTATTTTGAAAAACAACAACAACAACAACAACAATAAAACAAAACTGAGCATTCTAAATTGGCAGGTAGGTGGAGTGCCAGGCCTGGGAGTCAGGAAGACTCATCTTCCTGAGTTCAAATCTGGCCTCAGACACTAGTTTTGTGACTCTGGGCAAGTCTTTTAACCCTGTTTGCATTAATTCTTCATCTATAAAATGAGATGGAGAAGGAAGTGGCAAAGTGCTCCAGTATCTTTGGCAAGAAAACTCCAAATGGTGTCACAAAGAATTGGATATGACTGAAATGACCGAACCACAAAGCATTCTAAATTGCCATACTTTTAAAAAAAATGTTGCCATTCGCTTCTCTTCTGCTGAATTTTCCTCCACTTCAGGACTTTTGTGTTCCAAATCTGTCATTCTCTCTCACATAGCTCCTATTTCTTTGGAGAAATTCTCCATATCTTTAATTTTTCCTACTGTGATAATTGTTTTATAATCCTGCATTCAGTATGAGCTATAATTTCTTCCTTAAATTCACTCCTAATCTCTTTTATGCATTTTCTCTTTTGAACCATTCTGGAGTCTCTGTGGTTCCACAATCTCTGGGGCAGTAATAACATTCTTTCAACAGGCATTATTGGTTCATTTGCCTTATTGTTTTCTTACTATGCTTTGGTTTCTCTGGGATTTTCCTCATCCTATTTTAAAAGAAGTCTTTTCTGTTGTTTATCTTCTTGTACACTAGGACTCTGAATCAAGCTGCTTTCATAGGCATATTTTTTTAGCCTGCCTGATTTTTCCTTCCCCATACATATCATAGGATCATAAGACCATAGATTTAGAGCTGGAAGGGAGCCTTAGAGGCTACTGAGTCCAACTCCCTCATTTTAGAGATGCGGAAAATGAGACCACGAGAAGTTAAATGACTTGCCCAAGATCATCCTTCTTGGTAGGGGTAGCATGTTTGGTCAACTCCACTGTAGCCATGGGGGTTGTCCCTACCCTATGAGGTACCCAGTCAAAAGCCTGAAAGTTTGAGTTTGCTGTGGCAGGGGTGGGGGAAAGGGCACTCTGAATGGTAGTTCTAAACATTAGAGTTCTCGGGCATTAATTTATGGGGTGTTTAACCTTGTGTGTATATTTAGGAGAGGGTGGTTCTGCCATTGGATATTATGGAATCAGTGGTAATTTCTCTAGATTTGAGTCATGATCCCTTTCTTTTTGAGGCTGTGGGATTGAAAAAGTCTTGAGAAAGTGATTACTCTTCCAGCTTTCTGTTCACCATATCCAAAATATCTAAATACTCCAAATAAATTAATGAAAGGTCCTCAAATCATATACTGATTCAGAAAGAAAAAGTAGCTACACATTCATGGAAAAAGAGCCATGAATAGTACATTTACAATTTTTAAAAAAAAATTCCTAATTTTTTAAAATACCCAGAAGAAAGTAAAGATTTGCTTCTTAGTCAATTGACTAATCCACAGAAACAATCCTAATTTGATTTTAAAGATCTAGATGATAAGAATGAATAAGGAATCAGTTTGCCATGGACAGATGTAAAACATTTACAGCTATCATTTATATAATGCTTTAAGATTTTCAAAGCACTTTATATATGAATTCATTTGATTTTCACAATGACCCTGTGAAGTCAATGCTATTATTATCCTCCTTCTACTGATGAAGAAACAGACACAAAGGGTAAGCAACTTACCCAGGGGCACACAGCTCCTAAGTGTTTGCAGAAAGATTTGAACTCAGGTCTCCCTTATTTCAAGTCCTTCCCTCTCCCTATTCCCCCTAGCTGCCTCTGTGAGTAGGAACAGTCAACAGACTTGTACCATCTGTTTGAAATGAAAATTTGAAACTGAAAAGTATTACTATGTTCTGGTTGCATATATAGAGTTCTCGGTATTGTCAAACTAAATGATACAAATTTCACTACCATTCATAATGTCTTTTTTGTATGAAAGTTTCCTGCTGTGTATATATTATACAATAAAATGCAATGCATGTTTTATAAAAAAAAATAGGTCTTGAATTGTGACTGAAAAAGAATTAGGAGTAGCAATGTCATCAGTGACACCAGGTTTTGAGAAACTGCACCAAAAAATAAGCCTCCCCATCATATTAGTAACACAGTTTTCCTTTCCACATCATGACTTTTCCCATCACAGTTTCCATATATCATGAGTCGGCATACGTGGGAATTTGAGGGGAGTTTTGTGGAAGCTGCAGATGACACATTAAGGCTAGCTGATGACATAGAGCCCATGATCAAATATTCCAGATTTTACAATAAGGTACTGTAAACAGCCCATAAAAGTAAAAGAAAAAAAATCAGACTTCTTCTCTGGTACGAAGGGAGGGCCAAAAATTTTTACTCAAATTTTCCAGATTGTGGGGGTGCTGCACCTCTAAGCCCCATGATGTGGAAGGGGTAACTGTATACTGTTATTAAACTGGACTTGTGATTTCATTGGTATAAGGAACTCCCGGGGAAGAAACACCTTCTACTAATGCAAATCTACACCTGCAACTTCCACAGAGTTGCCTGGGGCACAAAGAAGTTGGCAAGGTATCATGCCTGGGACTTGAACTCAAGTCTTCTTAACCTTTAAGCCTGCTTCTCTATTATGCCACACTACCATAGTATTATTATTGTAGTTATTTTTTATAATTAAGGAAATTGCAAAGAATTTAATCCATCAACGAATTCCTGTTGTGCTATTTTATTATATATTTAAGATTTTTTGTGCCAAAAATATTTAATAAATTCTTAACTTTACTTGAATAAAATGCGAGCTAAGAGAATTATTTGCATCGGTCATTTTATGAAAAGCATAAAAAAGGGAGGATTGCTACATAAAGTTTGGACATCACTGGCATAGATGCTCAGGCCTCTCTCCCTTTTAGCTCAGAATCTATGCGCGCTAACGAGATCACTTGGGACAAGATGGCTTCTAAGACCCTTCACAGGTCAATATTTTATGATTGCCTGTCCATCTATTACATTCTTTTCTGTCTGGCTGCCATATTCTATGTCATTGTTTTTACACAGGGTCTCACTCAGGGTTCTAGGGAAGCTTTTGATAATAATGCATCTACTTCCAGGCAGAAGTCAAAATGAATCCTGCATTTTCTGACTCCACAAATCTCAGAAAAGTTGGTTAGGTTAGTGGTCATGGGGTGGGCCACAAATCATTTCCTATCTCCCCACTTGGAGCTGATTGATCTTAGGAGGGCCCTTTTCCTCTAAAACAATTCATACTGATCTTGGAGGTGATATTGATTTTGAAAGTCCCCCTCCCCTCCAAAACAGCTTTCCCACCCTTTAGCTGGTATATGAAATTCCTTTATCACAGAACAAAATGCATTCCCTTTCAAAATGAGAGGAGCCTGAAAAAAGCATGTGAGAGGGAGCACAGGAACAATATATATTATCCCTTTCTTCAGAACATGTTTGGGAGTGGTGGAATTGTCTTGATGCCTGAGAATGAGAGAGAATACCAGAGAATGAGGGATCAGAATACGAAAAGTGAGGACAACTTTGCCTACTTGAAAGTTAAGTTTCCATGGTAGACCATTAGGTGGGTAGAGCAGGGGGGCACAGGGACATAAGACCACAAGGTTTTAATCAAACAGAGCAGAATGGCAGCAATGCAGAAGAGGTAATGCTTGGTGAAGAGGAAGAAAATCATCTCCTTGGTGACGTAGATGACGTGAATGAAGATGAAGCAATACAGGAACATGGCAAACTGATTCTGAGGAAGCAGGAGGTCTTGGAATCCTCCTGGGAACTGTAAGGGGAAGAAAAAGAGAGAGAATACCAGAGAATGAGGGATCAGGATACGAAAAGTGAGGACAACTTTGCCTACTTGAAAGTTAAGTTTCCATGGTGGACCATTAGGTGGGTAGAGCAGGGGGGCACAGGGACATAAAACCACAAGGTTTTAATCAAACAGAGCAGAATGGCAGCAATGCAGAAGAGGTAATGCTTGGTGAAGAGGAAGAAAATCATCTCCTTGGTGACGTAGATGACGTGAATGAAGATGAAGCAATACAGGAACATGGCAAACTGATTCTGAGGAAGCAGGAGGTCTTGGAATCCTCCTGGGAATTGTAAGGGGAAGAAAAAGAGACTGAAACTCAACACAGCCTCAGGTCATCGGGATAGCTGAAGGATTCTGCCTGCTCTGGACACAGGACTGCCATGGCTATGGCTCCTCTTTCTGCCTTTACCTTGAATCTGGGAGAATGGGGCCACCTCCTCTCCACTGACCTTTACCCAGGCCCAGCCAGCTGTCTCTGTGTCCCACCTTCAGGCATCAGTGTCACTGATGTCTGACAATCTGACTCGAAGGTAGAGATCAAAATCAATTGCATAAGAACAGAATGGGAGAAGCCTGGTTTGGCATCAGTTCAGAAGACCACTAACTCAATATGAGCCAGGAATGGATGTTGAAAAAGCTAATGGGGTTGGAGCTCTTTGTACAACGATCTATCTGCCACCATACCCAACCTCATACTTAACCAACTTTTGGGAGAATTGTAGGACAAGACTGAGCATAGGCTATTTTGTGGGCACATTGGGGAGCCCTATTTTTTCCGACTTTTTTCCTCCTGTAAAGAGTCTTATGTCAGTCCCATGGTTTATGCAAGCCTAGGAATCTGTCACTGATGGAAACATTGAGGAATGATTTAGGAGAAAATTAAACCATACTCAAATAATGTCATTAATGGATCCATATCAAGTTGGAGAATGATGATCTTTAAATAGTATGCCACAGAACTCTGAACTCATCCTGCCTTATTCAACTTTTGTATAAATAACTTGAATGCACACCAAAGGCACATATATCAAATGTGGATGACATAAAGCTGGGATTATAGTTCATATAGCTAATAGAGTAGATAGAATCAGATTACAAAAGGTTTTGATCGGCCAAAATTAATCATCATCATCATCAGAATCATAAGTAAACCTCAATATTTTCAAAGTCCATAATTTCCTTGGTGTGGATATTCCAACAACCAATACAGATCACAATTGCCCCTACACCTTAGTAGATGGTCTTTGTGGGTTGCTGTGGTTGGAAAAAACAACAACAATAAGTCAGTTGGTGGCCAACCTGGTGCTGAACCTCCTTAGTAGCTAGGCTGATCTTCAATGTGACCCCTGCTCAAAATATTTTCAAAATGATAGGCCCTGCCAGAACTTGTGGAACCCTGACATTACCTTTCTAGAACTTAGGGGCACCTTTATTCCAAGGTGAGGGAGAATAGCAGAATTGTGATGGGTTAGCAGGGTTAATACAGCCTCAAAGTCTATGTCAGCAGAACACAAATACTGGCAGGTATCACCACCAAGGTGAATAAGTCTTTGAGGGTGGGCTGGGTGAAAGATTATCTGTGGTCCAAGGTGAGTCTAGCCTAGTTTGGAGAGGCTTTTTTAGCCACAACAGTTCTTAAAGTCCACCCATTAAATTGTAGAGGGGTTGTGATTTTTATATGTGGAAGGAGTATCCACATTGTTAAAATCATAGCTCCTTGAAATACAAAAGGACAGAAAATCTGGCATTTTATGTCACAAAATCAATTGCCTAAGAAAAGAAAGCAGGAGACCTGGCATGACAGCAATTCAAAAGAGTACCAATTCAATATGAACCAATAATATGATTGTCTATTAAAAAAGCTAATGTGATTGTAGGTTCTATCAAAAGTAATATAGTTTTCCAGATCCAAGAGGTAGGGAAGGGCCTTAACTATTCCATTGGTCTGAACGCTATTAAAGAATTATTTAAAGCTTTGGACATCACATTTTATGAAAGATATGGATTAAAAAATAATTGAATTACATCAATAAACTAGAGTATGTCTAGACAAAAATAACTATTGAGGGAATTCAGGTTTTTTAACTTGAAGAGGATTGGGGGGCATGATATTTAAAAGATTACCACATGGGAATTTCATCAAACTTATTCTTTATCTCCAGAGGTTAGAATTAGGACGAATTAGACATAAGTTTTTCCCTGATAAAAGGAAGAACTTTGTAACAGAACCGTCCAACTGTCCTATAATGGGCAGCACCCAGAAGCAATGAACTCCCCATGACTGGAAAAGTTCAAACAAAAACTAGACGACCATTTGTCAGCAATGCTTTATAGAGAAAATTGTTGCATTGAATAGGGGGAATGACCTCGAAGGCCCCACCTAGCCTTTAAGACTCTGTGATGCTAACAAAACTCCATGTAAGTTATGCGGGTGTAGTAGTAGTAAGTCTATTTTACAGATATGGAAACCAAGGCCTAGTGAGGGGAGGGACTCGTCTAAGGTCACACTGGAAAGAACTCTGATATTACATTCCATTTGCCTTGTATGTATCTTGTATGTCAAATTAGTTACATGTTGCCTCCCCATTCAAATGAATGTAAGCTCCTTGAGGGGAGGGACAATGTTTTTGCCTTTCTTTGTATTCCCAGCATTCAGTAGAGTGCTAAAGCATCAGCACAAGGACAGCAAAATAAATGCTTGTTGATTTGCTGTCCCTAGATTAGGGGTAAGAAGACCTGGATTCAAATTCTGGATTTATCACTGACCTGTTTGACTTTAGGAAGGTCTCTTAGCTTTCTGGACCTGTTTGCTCATCTATAAAATAAGGGGGCTTGAATTAGATGACCTCAAAGGCCCCCTTCCAGCCTTCCAACCCTACGATTGCTGCTTGTGTGACCTATGGGAGACGCTAGGCCTGACACTTGAACCTCATGGGCGGGTGATGGATGCATCAGGTGCAGATGCTCCCCCAGGCCCCCCCATCCCCTTCTTCTGGCACCTACCAGCCCAGGGGGTGCCTGCCGGTGCAGCTGCTCCATCACCTCCTCATGTTGCCGCTGACGCTCATTCTCCTCATGCAGGTACTTTAGCCTGGTCAGTTCAAACTCCATGCGCACCTTCTCCAGCTCCATCTCGGTGGTGCGTTCAGCCGCTCCCTCCCCGAGCGCAGCGGAAGGCTCGGGCTCATCGCCAGCCGGCCCTTTGCCTGGAGCTGGCTTCAAGGGGAGAAGCTCGGTGACCTGGACCTTCATCTGCTTCACTTCTTCTTGGGGGCTGCTCTCCACATTGGCCCCGCCGTCCTCTAGGAAGTCATAGGAAGAGTCTTGGGTTACATATGGCAGGTCCTGCAAGAGCAGACAGGGAGAGAAGGAGACAGAGAGATCTGATGAGCTGGGCACAGTTTTAAAGAAATACCCTAGTGCCTCCTCTCTCCCTTTCCCCTAGTCTGTCCTCTGTGATTTTGCACCCATCTATCTCAAAGGAAAAATCTCTAATCAATCATTGACACCAGAAGTGCTGTCGCTCTCTGGGGGATTTGTGATTTTTAAAAAGTGGGCAGGCTAAGGAGCAAAGTTCCCAGTGTTGGAGTTTCAAACCTAGAAATCTACCGATGAGGGGGAAATGGGTTGGGGGGCGGGAGCAGGGAGGTTGGGTTTCTTAGTGGCCCTTAAACTACAAGCTCTGGAGCAAGGGAGTAGGGGGACCTGGGTTCTAGTCCCTCCCTGTTCTGTCACTGCGTGACCTTAGAGAAGTCACTCGTACTTCTCTGATTTCCTCATCTATAAAACGAGGGAGTTGGGCTAAAGTAATCTCTACGGCCTCTTTCCGGCTCTACCATTCTATGATTCTATGACCTCTGTCAACATGAGGTCAGCCCTACATTGTGTGCCACAGGGGGTCCAGAGGATGGAAGAGACATGGCCCCTCCATGAGGGATCTTCTGGTGTGAGGAGGCAGGTCTTGTAGCTGGGAGGAGGCCAAGCTACGGGTCTGGTCCCCACCCTTCTTTTGTGAGGGGACGGCTGTCGTCCCACCCACTTGTTGTGAGGAGGGAAACAAACACATGGCCCCACCTTGCTATTATGAGGAGACACACGGGAGTCCCTCTCATCTTTTCAGCAGGTACTTTCACTTCACTGATGGGAAAGATGCCCGGATTTGGAGGCAAAGGACTCTTCAAATCCCGGCCATTGTCACTACCTGTTTCTATTCTTTTTATTTCAGTCTGTGAAGCGAGGGGGCTGTTCTAAATCAGGAGTTCTTTACCTTTTCTGTGTCATGGACTCCTTTGGTCATCCCTTCTCAAGCTTACAAAAAAAAATTATGTTCAAACAGTCACACACACATACAGGCACAAACACACGATATACACATATACACACATGCACATATACACATATACACAGATACAAACACACAACATATGCACGTACATAAGCATATCTAAATGTATGAACACACAACCCACATGTGTACATGCATGAACACAGCATACATACGTGGGTAAAATACAGCACACAATGTACACACATATATAAATGTATGAACACATAACACATATGTACATATATATGTATGTGTGTGCATATATACATATCCACATATACATATCCCTTCCACGTCATGACTTTCCCCATTACAATTTTGATGTATTGCAGGTTGGCGCAAGAAATTAATTGGAAATTTTTGAGGAGTTTTGTGGAAGCTGCAGACAACCCATGTAGGCCAGTAAATGACAGAAAAAGTTTAGAAACTCAGAAATGCATAAAATATATGCATAGTGTTATGTAATATTGATATATTTTATCTTTTAATACAATAATAATTCAGATTTCCTCTCTAGTATAAAGGGCGGGCCAAAAAATTTTACATGGATTTTCCAAATCGTGGGGGTGCTGTGTCCCAGCCCCTACGATGTGGAAAGGATAATTGTACACATATACATATATACATGCACACATACATATATAAACATATACACACAATAATACATGTGTGTATAGATATATGTGTGTGTGTGTGCGCGCGCATATGTATGTTACATATAAAATCAAGTTCGTGGACCTCAGGTTAAACACCCCTTTTCTAGATGATCTTTAGGGTCCTTTTGAATTCTAGAATCCTATGGCACTTGGTGGTTAGTGAGCAGAAGGGAGTGAAAGATGGGTGAAACACATAGAGGGGGAAGATGAATATTGTGGTGTTGTGGAACAACTCTGATGTTTTGTTTTGTTTTTGAGAGCTAACCCTGAGCCAAGGAAACTGTGAAAGATGCTAGGCTCCCAATAAGTCAGTCAACAAGCATGTATTCATTGGGTGCCTACTATGTGCCAGACCCTGTGCTAGAGAGGTGCAAGTGTCAACAAGGCTGTAAAGAGATCAGTGAGGTATATTGTTTTTCCATCAGGTTTTTCTCAGTCATATCTGACTCTTTGTGATCCCATTTGGAGTTTTCTAGGTAAGAATACTGGAATGGTTTGCCATTTCCTTCTCCAGATCATTTTACATATGAGGAAACTGAGGCAAACAGTTAAGTGACTTGCCCAGGGTCACATAGCTATTAAGTGTATGAGGCTAGATTTGATTTCAGGAAGATGAGTCTTCCTGACTCCAGCCCAGGCACTCTATCCAGTGCACCACCTAGTTGCCCAATGAGGTATATAGTGAGGTATAGGAGGAGTAGCATGCAGGTCAAGGGATGATATTTCAGTGCAAAATTTCCCTTCTGTTAGAAGATAATGCCATCCTATCCAGCACCCTTGGTGGCCTTAAAGAGATCAAATGTGTTTGGATAGCCCCAAGTCCCCTGATTGCCCCTATTTAATGATACCCCAATAGGACCACTGAAAATAACTAGGATAGGGGTAGTCAAGGCCCAGAGTCTTACTCTTATCGTGGAAACCCCTAGCTCTTCCAGGACTGGAGGGTCAGTAGGACACACCGGATCAGCCAGACAGCCCTCACCCTCATCACACTCAGCCTTCAGAATGTCTCTGACCTCTGCTGTCATCTGAGCAACCAAAATGGATCTGATTTAAGCCAAAGGAGCACTCTCAGAGCACTGGCGTGGCCTCATCAGATTCCACCCTCAGCCGCCATCACAATCCCCTGCCCTCATAATATCCTACATTCCACCAGTTGCTAGGGGCCTGGACTGGAGATTTCTTTAGTCAGAAACAGAGAAGGTAGTTGCTGACTTTGCTGCAGTGTGACAGTCCTTGCTCCAAAATCTCTCTCTCTCTCTCCCATTGACCTGCCAGGGAACTTAGAATTCTGTTAGAACTCCATTCCTTTGGGTTAAGTATTGCCCTTCCCAAACTCCATTTTTGAAAATGCAAATCCTCCTGGGAGGGTGAATACATCCAGTCCCTATCTTTGTAGTGTGGGTGAGTTTTTTAATCTGCTCTTAGGAATAGAAAGGGTATGTGTATGGTGATAGTAGTTAGGGGAAGGGGAGCATGAAGATTTTTGCCAAGGACCACCACCTCCTGCCCCAGTGGACTGTCCAAATCCCATCATCCTTCAAGGCCCACAACAAATCCCTCATTTCTTGATGAAGCTTTCTATAATTATTCTAGCCCTCTCATGCACATCCCTCTCAGTTCTTAAGAGTCTGGGCTACCCAACTTGTCCCTCATTATTCTGGATGATGCCATCTAGTTGGTTCATGTCTGGGTAGCCAGAGGCTTCAGGTTCATTTGCATAAGACTATCCTCATTGGTAGATATTGATTATTCAATGCTGGAGCCTGGAGAGGGTGAAGTTGGCAAGAGCTAGAGAGAGAGCTTGGGAAAAGAGAGCCTGATCTTTTGGCTTGGCGGGAGAAGGTGCTCTTCTTGAAGAGGCTCTTGAAGTGAGAGAAAGGAAGAAGACGTGATGCAGGTAGGCCTCTTCCCAGAGTCTCATGCAGGCACAGAGAATTGAGTAATCAATCACCACCAAGGAGGAGAATCCTATGCAAACAGGCTTTGAGCTGTTAATCCTCTTCTCCTTGAAGATGTTACATTACTTCTGTCCTTTTCCTAGTGCTTAACCTGAGCTGAGCATACCGTTCAGGGTACCTTCTGACTGATTAAGTGGGAGATAGAAAAGTATGGTGTGTAATGGATAGGCGCATTGGACTAGGAGTTAGGAGACAGGCTAGTACTAACTTTGACTTACCATGTGACCAAGGTAATTTCACTTCTCTAGACCTCAGTTTCCCCATCTGCAAAAAGATCTCTCCCTTGCCCAATTGACAAATTCATCATCCAGTGGTCAACCTTCTCATCATGGACATCTTCAAACCCAGCTAGCCTGGTTCCCATGTTATCACCAGGTCTGCACCTGAAGCCTTTCTATCTTGTTATATATGACCTAGCAGAGCTTGTGCCCCATTCCTAGATCAATTTTTCTTTTGGAAGAGGTAAAAATGCCATTCTCTGCCTCATTTCTTATTAAGTCTTAATCACTGAATGGGCTTTGCCTCAGTCAAACAGACCTGTTGAAGACCTTAGCTTGAAAAGGCCAAGGTCCCCCAATGTATCCTGGGCCATCTCCAGTTGTCTTGATCTGTATCTGGCCAATGGACCCAGATGGTTCTGGAGGACAAAGTGAGGCTGGTGACTTTGCACAGCCCTCCCTCACTTAAATCCAATTCACTTGCATGTCATGGCATCACCTTCCTGATGTCATGGTTCTCTTCAAGAATAAAGGAGAAACAGCAGCAGCAGCAGCATAAGGATCCACCTCTGGTCACCTCCAAATTTTGATGACAAGGTAGGTATTGGAGGAGAACTTTAGAGGAGGTCTCTGCCTATGACAGATCTATCTAAGGGACTTGTGGCCCTCATTCTCCTAATTACCATTTCATTGTAGAATAATGGAGAATAAATGAGTCAGACTTACAGGATTTACAGTTGGAAGAGATCTTTGAGTTGTTATTCAGAGATGTCTGATTCTTCATGACCATGGTAATACTGTCCATGGGGTTTTCTTGGTGTCTGAGGCTGAATTTGAACTCAGATCTTCCTGACTGCAGGCCTGGTGCTCTCCCCTGAGTCACCTAGCTACCTCCTGGAGGAGACACTAGAGATTACTTAAACTATCCCCCTCAAATGAACAAACATTTTTATTAGACACTTTGTAATTCATTGTGGTTTACTTCAAAATTAAAAGAAAAAAAAGTATGTTCTTGGGATAGAATTTTTTTCTTCTGTAGGAAGGAATTGAGCAGCCTGAGACTAGCATTATTATCTTGTGTTGGCTAAGGGCACCCCCTTGTGGTCCTGTCTCATTTCTTCAATATCTTTGTTGGCCAGAGGGCAGAGGAGGAAGGGTGGGGATAGGAAGGTATTTGGTGTGAGTGGAGATGGTGGCCATTCCCTAGCCTAGTCCTTTGTGGAAAGGGAGTGGACATCAGTGGGATGGTCTCCCCCTATCAATTGGAGAACTGTTCCCTCGACACACAGAGGCAGTTTCTACTTCTAGAACAGAGTCTATTCTTGGAGTTCTATGCCCCAGAAAAAGGACTGAGGTTGGGATTCATATCTGGGCCCTTTGGACAACAAGATGGATCCTGGGCCAGACTGGCAGGTCTCGGGAAGAAAGCCAAGTCTAGAGTCCAGGTATGTGGGTAGCCAGAATCAAATAGGAATAGCAGCCGCTAGCTGGGGTCCAGATTATAGGACCTGGGCTCAGGCATTGAGCCTTAGATGTCTAGACTTTGGAAGCCTGGGACACAAGACAAGACCCTGATCTTGGAGAAATATCAAGTTATTAGTTAGGGAGCCACAGTTGAGACTCAAGTGTGGGGGGAGTGTGGGTGGGAATGAAAGAGAACACAGACCTAAGTATCCAGATGGTATAGTAGATGGATAAGTGTGCTGGGCCTCCAGTCAGGAACACCTGAGTTCAGATCCAACCTCAATGGTTGGTTGATAGTTGTATTTCGAGATCAAAGAAGACCAAAATGACATCACTTGCTGGGGTCAAGGTACAGTGTGTCTACCTGTGGCTGATCAAACCAATACGAACTCAGAAAGTGCTTCCATAGGTGGGGCACAAATAGTCCATATGAACATTTGGAGTGGAGCTGTCTCTAAATGTGCACATCTCACGTTTCTTTTGAGCTATTTCAATTCTGCTTTGCTCATATAGCACAATGCCTTCTTTGCTGGGGGTACACTATGCTGGGCAGTCCTGTGTCTCTCATGTCTCACAATCAATTCCAAAGTTCTTCAGAGAGACCTTGAGAGTGTCCTTGTGTCATTTTCTCTGACCTCCATATGAGAGCTTGCCTGCTGTGAGTTCTCTATAAAATTTAGGACATTTAGGCAAATGTCCATTTTGCATTCAAACAACATGGCCAGCCCTTCAGAATTGCACTCTCTGCAGTACAGTTTGAATGTGTGGCAGTTTAATTTGAGAAAGGACCTCAGTGTCTGGTACCTTATCCTGCCAGGTGATCTTCAGAATCTTCCTTAGACAATTCAAATGGAAGACATTCAGTATCCTGGCATGATGCTGGTAGGCTGTCCAGGTTTCACAGGCATACAACAGTGAGGTCAGCACAATGGCTCTGTACACCTTCAGTTTGGTAGGCAGCCTAATAACTCATCTCTCTCACACTTACCTTCAGAGCCTACCAAACACAGCTAGCTCTGGAAATGCATATGTTAATCTCATCATCCCTGGAAGGTAAACTTAACCACAGCATTCAAGATTCTCCATTTGCTATCACCAATGGCTTCGCATGAATGATGGGAGAGTGTTTTCTTGGTGTTGTCAAGCCATGAGCAGCTAGGTGGTACAGTGGAGCCAGGAAGACTCATCTTCATGAGTTTAAAACTGACCTCAGATACTTAATAACTATGTGACCCCAGGCAAATCACTTAGCCCTGTTTGCCTCAGTTTCCTCATCTGTAAGATGAACTGGAGAAGAAAATGGCAAACCACTCCAGTATCTTTGCCAAGAAAACCCCAAATGGTGTCAAGAAGAGTAGGACATGATTGAAAAATGACTGAACAACAACATAATTATTAGGCTAAAATTAGCACAAGCAGCAGAGAATCAACCCAGCCTCCAAGTCTGCATTAAATGCACAATCATCTGCTAACAAAAAGTTGTACACCAACTCTCCCTCCACTTTAGTCTTGGCTTATAGTCCTTTCAAGTTAAATGATTTGTGATCAGGACAGTAGCTGACCTTTTATCCTAATTGAAGATGTTCAATCAACAACATCGCTGAGAACATCATGCTAAAAAGCATGGGAGCAAGCACACAGCCCTGCTTTATTCCATTGGTGCCTGGGAAAGCGGGAGAGCATTGCCCATCATTCAGCACCCGCGCAAGCATGCCTTTCATGAAGCTGGCATACAATACTGATGAACTTCTCTGGACAACCAAATTTTGCCATGATCTTCCACAAGCTCTTATGACTGATAGCATCAAAGGCCTTGGTCAGATTGATGAATGTTGTGTATAGACTTCTGTTCTGCTCCTGACATTTTTCCTGGAGTTGTCAGGCAGCAAACACATATCAACTATTCCTTGACTCTTTCTGAAACACTTGGGTAGATGACTATCTTCCAGTGAAGGATCAGCCAACTAAGGAAGACTCTGGCAAGAATCTTGGCAGCAATGACACACAGAGAGAGACAGAGACAAAGAGACAGAAAGAGAGACAGAGATACAGAGAGACAGACAGAAAGACAGAGAGACAGAGAGAGAGAAATGGGGAGAGAGAGATCCCTCCTCTTGTACCTCATGATTGTCACAGAACAACTCATTTCCTTTTTATTTATAGAGATGGACGACGGGGGCATCCTTGAACTCCTGGGGGATAACCTCCTCTTGCCATATAACCTAGAAGATTTCAATCAGCTTTTGTTTTTTTGTTTTTTGTTTTTCTTTTGGCTAGGCAATGGGGTTAAGTGACTTGCCCAGGGTCACACAGCTAGTATGTGTTATGTGTCTGAGGCCGGATTTGAACTCAGATCCTCCTGAATCCAGGGCCGGTGCTCTATCCACTGCGCCATCTAGCTGCCCCTCAATCAGCTTTTGTATGAGCAGTGGATCTTCTACCTTGTAAATCTCTACTGGAATG